GATGAAACAACAGGAAGAACCGGTAAGTCATAAAACTCTCTCTCTTGTCTAGTAGCTATGCTCCCGGATGGGCACACACCAAACCCCACCCTTATCATTTACCGCCTGCGCTAAAGCACTATTATACCCCCTTACCAACTCCGCTTGCCCTGCGTAGAAATATTTGTTGTGAATTTGTGGCTCGTCATGAGAAGACAGATCACACACTAGGACAGAGAATCGGACACTATGTATCGCTAGTAATACCGGATAGTCTCATCCCTTAAGCTCTTCTTCGGGGGCCTTCTGCAACAACATCTCCTCATGTCTACCTACCCATCTATCAATCTATCAATCTAATCCCCCACCGCTTCCTGCCGCCCGCCCCACACATTTTCACTTTTTTGTTCCATGTTGGACACTATGACAAAATGCGACCTCTTGTTTGCTCCTTCCGTGCACGCCTTTCTCCGCCATGTGCTGATGGTATTATAATTCCCATATCAGAATGTTGTGGTGCTGAGACACAGATATGACAGAGCAGACAAGCACAGGTCTGTGTGGATACATGTATAGGAATCTTTTTAGTGGAGGTTTGCATGTATATTGCGCTTTGGGTGCGCAGATGAGTGCAAGGGGTTCACCCTCATGTGGGGTCTTCCACTTATGTATTAGACAGCCAGGCGTCTCCCACAGAAGGGCAACACACTTCTCTCCGCCTCGGATTTTATCGACAAACTGTGCACGCCCACCACCTCCATCATGTGCATGGTGTGCTCTTCATTCATCCCGTCCAGTCTGCATTGTTGGACTGCTTATGAGGTACTAGATTAGGAGATATAAGCAGAGAGGGCCTGTAGCTCTGACGTATCCTGCAGGTAAGCACAAGGTGGTATATCGTTGCTGTCAGATGCCAACAGGGCAGACATGGCTATGGGTTTTTGTTTTGTTGGTACACTCGGCGTTGGGCGTTGGGTATTTGGTCTGGTGGCGTTCGTTTCACTCCTCATACCATTAGGCATGCTGTGGTTTGCTTTATGTGGTTCCACTTCATGCTCATTAACATTAGGCGCAAGGGACTAGCTTTAGTGGTTTTGATCCTTCCGGGTGATTAGGGCCATACGGGTTTGCACCGGATCGTGTTGTTTTCTGGGGAGTGCTTTTTGGGAGTTGATTGTATTTCAGTCAGATTCCTGATCTGTTGACTATACTGATACAATATCTCCTGGTCTATCCTTAGCCAGCATCTCCATCGATCTCGCTCACCAGCCTTCCACACCCATTTGCACTTAAAGCCTACTATTCCTGTACTCTGTCCGCTTCACCCTTTAACTAGTGTTTTCAACAGGCTGCGTCGCCCATCTGGTTACCTATCAGCCATGTTTCTTACTTCCCCCGTACCCTCTATTTCCATATATTTCCACTGCAAAGCATGCTTGTCTAGTTTTTATTGTTATGAGAGAGGGAGAGGCGAGGTCACTGTGGAAGAAAAATAGAGATAAAGTAGATAGAGGTTTCTTGATGCTCGTATTGCTTGTCCTGTATTTTTTTCTATCTGGGGAATAGAAGGGGGTTTATATAGACAGTCCTAGATACAACTCCCAACTAATATTTCTTCTACCCGTATACTCACAGATGTGGCATTTCACATGAGTCCGAGACCCTTCCAGCAGTTGTCACAACCTCCGAGGTTGATGCGACCTGAACTCCAGCATAGGCCAATCCCGAGACAACCCCAATCCACTGAAGAGTACCGAAGAGTACCGACAACTACCGAAGACCTCCGAAGACTACCTGAAACCCCATGAAACATAATATGAGACGATACTAAGAAACTAATACATGAGGAAGACGACAACACATCCTAGCTACAGAACTGATAACAAAACCTTCTCTTTCTGCGATCCGGAACACTAGAATGAGCACCGGTGATTTTCAACATGTTGATGGGTAGATATATATGATATTCACAAAAGAACCCTAAATCCCCTGCACAAAAGCCCAGTAACTTGCCCAACACGGGTTTGTTCTATTAATGAGGAGCAATTGTCTGAATCAAGACTCATAAAGCAGACCCAATAGTCAACTCAACGGTCTACTGAAGTAACGCCGACAGATAAAGGAGGTTGTGGGAGAGTGCTAGAGACAGAAATTTATAGGATAATGAGGCTAAACTTCTTCCACTCATTCCTAAATTACCAATTAAGTATCAATCCACCTTCTTATCTTGTTATCTGGGGGGCAAAACAACCGACTGTGCTCCATCCCAATTGTTTTAACCCTTCAATAACTCCCTGGGTTCGTTCTGCGAACAGACACAAAGGTTTATCCGAGTTAGCCCGGGCCGCTGTTCGTTAGATTGAGTCCAGCCGGGTTGGGGAAACTCTGCTCATTTTCGATTCTGGTTAACGCATTACGAGGCTCGCCTCGTCTCAATCCATACCCATTGGCAAACTTGACGTGAACAAATCTTGGTACCATGGGTAATTCTATGCACTATTATATCTTGTGGTTGGTATATTGACCAGGTATTTATAGGGCAATACATGCGGAAAAAAAATAAACGAAGCACAGAACAGCAAGACCACAAGCAATGAATCCCCCAAAAGCGAAAAAAAAACCCTTTTCCTACACAGCAGCTCCCCCCCCAGTGCTAGGAAAAGGAAGCAAGGGGACGAAGAAAGAATTATAGAGGAAAGTGGAAGGTTAGCTCTAGGGTTCCACTCGTGTATGCATCGAGACAAAGCCAAACTAGACCATGAATCAATTTGTAACCCACCTTAACACGCTCTGCTCCCCCAAGCTCCTGTTACCCCTTCTAGCAACCTCCAAAACAATACTCTTCGGGGCGCTGCTTCTGCCGGGAAGTCTTTGGATAGATCCTTGAAGGGGAGTATGGATGCATCCCCAAACCCCACAATATACAATCCGAGATGTGTCCGGTTTGTACCCCAGGAGCGGGGTAATAAAAACAGTAAAGATATTGGATCAAGCGAGAGTCGATTTAGTAGGGTGGGTAGAAATTATGACCTTGGATGTGTACTGATAGCTTCTGGCAGGTGGGAACATGGGGCTGGGTTTGGGGTCTGACTAGGTAGAGGATAAGCGGGGTGGAGAGAGGGTACTCTTAGATTGGGCGGATACTGAGTCAACTTCAGACCCCGGTCCGTATATTCACGTGAACCCAATGTGAAATAATTCGAAATTTCAGAGCAAGTCGTGTAAGTGATCAAGGGTGGTTGGCAGCAGAAGGATAGATACGATTGAGAGAATTAATGGGTAATTGTTCGAGGCGTGTAATAGAGGGGCTGTGTTTGGGGTGTCGGACTGGGTGGGGAATAAATGGGATCGGGAGATAGTGGCTTTGGGGAGGTTGGACGTGCAGTAAGGGTGGCAGATCCGGGTTTGCATGTGCGAGCGAACTCGTCGTGAGGTAATTTGAAGGTTCGGAGACAGCCGGGGGAGGCTCGGGGGGTAGCCGGTAGTGGAAGGATGGGTAGGGCTCAGGAAACGAGTAGTTGTCCGCTCGGGGTGAGCAATAGAGCAGAGTGACCCGGTGTTAGAGCCCCCCGGAATACGGCGTGTGTGTAGGTCGGAAGGAGTTGGGGTTGCTGGTGGCAGTCGGGGGAAAGACAGGTAGGAGAAGGAGTGAGCACATGTGGGGGAGGAAAAGCACAACTAGAAGAATTAGTGGCCGCTTGAGAAATGGGATGTTCGAGCAGCAGAACAATTGAAAGTCTCCTAACCGGGTGACGTGGACCACGATGGTGAAATCATGGATTTGGATCTGCCCCGTGTGTGAGGAGAAGCTGCGCAATCGATTCATGACGTAATGCCCTAGCTGCTTGTAGTGCATTACCATAAATGCCACCCTGAGTATTCACCTCTGCGCCACGTTCGAGGAGAAGCTGCACAACCGATTCGTTTTTCCCGTATGCAGCTGCTTGTAGTGCATTGCCATACTCGCCACCCTTCGCATTAACCTCTGCCCCACGCTCGAGGAGAAGCTGCACAACCGATTCGTGTCCCTGATATGCAGCTGCTTGTAGTGCATGGTTGTATTTGCCACCCTTC